GTTAACTGTAAAATGGAGGTAATAATTGTTGTGAGGATTAAATGACGTAGTTTTCAATAAATGTTAGCTATTTTTTTAAATTATGGTTAACATCTTTATTTATATGTCTTTGGGAAATAGTATCTTTTCCTTAAGATAAATTCTTCAAGTGGAATTGCTGGGTATGCATTTTTAAAGACTTTTGAAAACATATTGCCAAATTGCGCTGCAGAATAGTTTCACCAATTTATACTCTCACTGGTGATATTGAAAAGGCCTGTTTCTCCAGACTCTTGATCTAGTCCTGGGATTATCCATTTTTAAAGTCTTTGACAAATTGCTAAGTGACAAATCATCTAGTTTTTTTTTTTTTTTTAAATTTTATTTATTTATCTATTTTTCCCCCAAAGCCCCAGTAGATAGTTGTATGTCATGGCTGCACATCCTTCTAGTTGCTGTATGTGGGACTCAGCCTCAGCATGGCCAGAGAAGCGGGGCGTCGGTGCGCGCTCGGATCCGAACCCAGGCTGCCAGCAGCGGAGCGCGCGCACTTAACCGCTAAGCCACGGGGCCAGCCCAGTCTTAGGTATCTTCTAATTCTCACATTACATAGGTAAAAGTTTTCTTCCATGAAGTTCCTTCGTAGACAAACTTTTGGAATGCTCCCTCCTACTCCATCGCAAATACTGCTCTCCTCCAACATAGTGTCACCTCTTTGAGGCAGAACTTGCTTCTTTCCAGAACTGTGATTCATTTTTATGGTGCCATGAGCCCTAGGACAGTAGCAGCAACTACGATCCAAAAAGCACAGCCAAGACTTAAATATAAAATCGTCGTCTTCGTTTTGTGTGTGTGTGAGAAAATCTTTTGAAAATCGGTTAAAAGCTAGGGATCCACTCACAGAAAAACACATAGGCAAATATTCAGAAAATTTTAGGGGGCTCCTACGCCCTCCGAAGCCCATCCATGTACTCCCTAGGAATCCATGAATCCTTGGCTAAGAACACTGGATTTGGGACAGTAAAGGGATCCCTGGAGATTAAATGATCAAAAATGTTTCCTTCCTCTTGGAAAAGGGAGCTGCTAAATTAAATATTTATAGAAAGTTATTAACACTCTCTTTTCAAAACTAAATTATTATGCTTACTTACAAATATCCTCCTCATAAATCAGATCATGTACTAACCTGCTTACTCTTTTAGAATAGGATGCAAACTCCTTACCACGCATTATAAGGTCCTACATAGTCTGGCTCCTGTGGCCCGCATGTTATACTTTTGAGCTGCACTGGCCTCCCTTGTGCTCTGGGAACACACTAACTCTCTACAAGTCACTCTGTTTCTGCTGAAGAGTCTCAGAGTGACCTGTTTCCTCTGCCCAGACCCTTTTCTGGTTGCCATCCTTCAGGCCTCAGTTCACATGTCCCCACCTCATGAAGGCCTTCCTTCCCCCCTACCCTCAATCATTCGCCCTCACATCACCCAGTTTCCCCCCTGTATAGTTAATCCTGTCACAGTCCTGGCCGTTGATTTTGTTTGCTTATTGTCTTCAATCCCCACTAGAATGTTAGTTCCACGAAGGAAGCAGCCTTGCGTCTCTTATTTATAACCACATTCTCAAAGCCAGGCACAGGTATATACTGGTAGTAGGCACTCAATAATTATATACTGGTAGTAGGCACTCAATAATTGTTGAATGAATGATTAAACTTCAGCCAGGGATGGATTAAAACCTTAAGAAGCTCTAAGCACTAAAGATTATGGCATTCCTCCTTCATATTTAATTCTAAGTAAAAATTTTGGTGCTCCTCCCCCAAATTTAACTTAACTAAAAACAATACTAAACCATACACTCAAATGTACTGAAACGAAAAGAGCTTCTTTCTAGATTATCCGATTGAAAGACACTGGAGCCCCTGGTTTGCTGGTGCCCTAAGTATGTGAGCTCTTTGTCTGCCTCTGGGGAATCTAGCCCTCACTCACCCTTTTATTTTTTTATTTTTTAAATAATTTTATTTATTTATTTTCCCCCCAAAGCCCCAGTAGATAGTTGTATGTCATAGTTGCACATCCTTCTAGTTGCTGTATGTGGGACACGGCCTCAGCACGGCCAGAGAAGTGGTACGTCGGTGCGCGCCAGGGATCCGAACCCCGGCCGCCAGCATCGGAGTGCGCTCACTTAACCACTAAGCCACGGGGCTGGCCCTCACTCACCCTTTTAAACATGCTGGAAGTAGTTTTGGTTAAGCTTGTCTACGCCCTCAAAAAACCTTGCTAGGATTTTGATAGGAATTGTGTCAAATCTATAGATCAATTTGGGAAGAAGTGACATATTTACTATACTGGTTCTTCCAATCCATGAATATAGTAAGTCACTCCAATTATCTGTCTTCTTTAATTTCTTTCATCAGCATTTTATAATTTTCAGCATACAGATCCTGAGCATGGTTTATTAGATTTACACCTAAATATTTCATTTTCTTTGGAGCAACTGTAAATGGTATTTATTGCATTTTTGTTTCCATGTTTGTTGTTAGCATATAGAGAAAGTCTTTTAGTAGAACAAGGAGAAATGTACTCTTTAGTGAAGTAAACTTGTTCAATGTTAACTTGCTGGACTAGTAACAAGCTATTTATCCTAATATTCAAGTACTCCGTAATGTGCCTCTAAATCTCTTAAATTTAGCCTAATTCTTAATTGATATACTCTAATCTCTACTACTATTAGAAGAGTCTACTGGTCCCTCACCTGAATACACCTATTCATTCCATCTCCATACCCTTGCTCGTGCCATTCCCCCTCTAGAATAGTCCTTCCACTGAGCCCTTTGACCCCAAACTACATCTTAACTATCCTTCAAGGAGGAGGTCAAAGCTCTTGAGAAGATGCCTTCCCTGACAACCCCAGCCTACAATGCTCCTTGTCTCTGCTGGGCTCTTTTATTTATTTATTTATTTCCCCCAAAGCCCCAGTAGATAGCTGTATGTCATAGCTGCACATCCTTCTAGCTGCTGTATGTGGGACACCACCTCAGCATGGCCAGAGAAGCAGTGCGTTGGTGCTCGCCAGGGATCGGAACCGGGCAGCCAGCAGCGGAGCACACGCATTTAACCGCTAAGCCACGGGCCGGCCCATCCGCTGGACTCTTTTAACCAGTACTGTATGCCATCAATCATTAATTTAGTTTTTAATTAGTTTTAATCTATGTCTTGTTTCCCTAATTAGATGATATACACTGGGGAGGCTCCCATAATAGCTATCATAGCCCCACATACATGTAAGGCACTCCAATTTAATTGTTGTATAAATGAAGAGAAGGGAGAGAGATGTCAAGATGTGTCAAAGTAAGGCTACCAAGCTGCAGCATGTAAAGGGTACTCCATAATTCTCTGAGTCTTTCATCCAGGCAAGATCCATGCTCTCAACCTCTAGGATAAGGGTTGTCGCTCTTTTCTTCCTTCCCGCCAAATGCAACTCTTCCAACTAAGCAGATTTGAGATGCAGATCCTTTCCAACTGCCTCTTAGAAACTGTTCTAAAAACAGCAGGTCCACGGTTAGTAGAATTTTAGAGGTTTATTCGAAGAGCACAGGAAATCTCACTGAAGCTGCAGTAACAACCCTGGCCACCAGAGGACAGGGGGCAGCCGGAGAGATTGCTTCTCCTCAGCAGTCTTAAAGAGGTTAAAGGCAGGCGCAGAACATCGGCTCTGCATCTATGGCCTTCAGACTGCTTTTACAGTCTGAAGTGCTCAGCAGTCTCCGGTCTCCAGATGGGCTCTTTCTCCTTCTCCAAAAGATGGGCCGGAAGTTCCCAGAGGCTTACCCCAATACTAACCTTAAATGATGGTCAATAATAACGAATGCCCTTCCGTTGCGGGATTTAAAGGCGGAAAAGAAGCATGGAGCTGTTTTTATCTTTCTAACCTACCCTAAACCTGCTTCTCAGTTCTTTTGCCAATTAAAAAAGTTCCTCAGGCAGTGTCCAAATGGACATTCGGCAACAAAGATGCCGTTAGGGACCAACGTCCCAAATCCAGTACATTGCAAATGGAATATTTTAGGAGCTAGGTTATTCCTACACATAAATCCTGGCTCACGGAGCAGTCCGCTCACAGTGTGCTTTTCCGTCATTAATCACATCTTTGTTATGTGATATCCACGTGAGTACTTCTCAGTAGAAGCAGCTTCATGCTCAAATGCTCAAAGAACACTAGAATAAAGCTCTGATTGTCCTATTCAGTGATTCCAAGTCCTGGTTTGTCACCACCTCAGGTCTCTAGGTTTCCAGAGTGTGTAATGTAGTCTCAAAACAAAGCTGTTTTAATGAATCCAAATAAGAAACGCACGAAGCGTGTGGAGTTAAATCAACTGGGTCTTGCACCTCTCAAGAGGCAGTGAACCTCTGGTCTGATTTCAAGATGCTTCTGGGCTGCCCGACGGAGAAAACATTTTTAAAGAGAATTTTAGGCTGCCCATACTCATTAAATCTGTAAATATATGCAAAGTAAAATAATAGAAGTTAGGAATATTCAAGTGGGGGCTTTCGACAACAAACACATATAGATGGCTGAATACCTGACAGCACTCGTGTGAGTTTTCTTAAAGTACCTGTAACTCCTCTTTCCTAGGAGATGGCAGTGCCCTGCATTTTGGATTCGTCAGACTATTGCAAGAGCGACTGTAATTCTCTCAAATAATTGTTTGCGTTTCTTCACGCTGGGGAGGCAGCTGGCAACAGCCCAAGGAGGAGGCAAAGGCTCTGCGTCTCGGTGGGGGGCACCCTGAAATACCTGTTGGGGCGCAGCGCTGGAGGCGCGCGGCCGGGGCGAGGACCCGGGCCCGGGTCGGCGGGCGCGCGGGCGCGGAAGGAGGAGGCCGTGGGGCCGCCTCCCCGGGCAGCCCCGGCTCCTCCCAGCGGCGCCTGCGGAACCTGCCTCGGAGTCGCCGAACTCTGGAACGGAACGTGACCCGAGCCCGCCCCGAGCTGCCCAAACGAGGCGCGGAGGCGCGCTCGGGGCTCGGGCGGCCGCGCGGCCCCGCCCGGCGCCCACCGCCCTGCCCTCGCCTGTCTCCTCCTTTCCCCGGGGCTCCGCTGAGTTCATTCACTGGGATTGGTTTCAAGTGACGCCATCTCTTTATTTTTAAACCAATGACCTCATCCGCGCTTGAAGTTTCCTGACCAGCGACTCTTTCTCTTTCCCCCCAACCCCCCACCCCACCCCCCCGCCTTTCCCCCTCTTTCTGCGTATCGCTGTTTGGGGGGCTTTCACCAGTTTTTAAACGATTATTATCACCTCTCCCTCCCCCCTCCGCTTTCCCCACGCGGCCCCCCACCTTCACCTCCCCAAGTTCTTCACCCCTTTCAACATTGTTTTTTCAAGGCTGATGGGGGGGTAGTGGAAGAGAAAGAGTAAAGAAAAGTTGCAAACGTCTCTTCTCTGCCTAAGCCTCCCGCCCCCACCCACCTCGCAGAGAAGGAGAAGATAATATAGTGAAAAGAAGAGGAGGAGGAGGAGAGCGCGACGGGACGGACGCGGGCGCGAGCGCAGCCTCCCTCCCGGCTCCGCGGCGGCGCCTCGCCAGTCCGGGAGGCGCGGGGGCCCGAGGGGAGACGTCGTGACAACTTTCGTTTCCCCCAGACGGCGTCGGGAGGTCGGCGGCCCCCAAAGTAAGTGGCCTCGGGCCGGCCGCGCGGACCGTGCGGGCGGGAGGGTGCGGGGCTCGCGGCGGCAGCATGGACGCTCCGCGGCGCGCCCGACTCCGGGTG